TTTGTGCGCGCCAAGACTTCGCTTGCGAGAGTGCAGCTGACACTATAAAAACAAGCAAACGATGGAAGGTGTTGTGGTCCGCCTCCTAGTGGTGTTCTCCGGTACAGTCTGAGTAGCCTGGGCACCTACTCCACTTCGGAAGGAGATATCTCAGATTATATTTCGCGCGGAGAAAAGTTGATGGATGATGGAGGTATGTCCGGATAACTCAGGGCTTTTGAGATGTTCCCCTGGGTGGGTATTCACGGATGAGGGTTGACTTAGGGTGAAGAAAAAGCCGCCATAACTTCGCAGTAGTACCTGCAAATGAAATCCGAGGCATGAGTGCTCTTCCCACACGATGAATCATCTTTTCTGTACTTTTCTTTGATATTGTGTCATAGCAAGATAGCTGCATACACAATTAAAATCTTATGCACAAAAAAAAAGTCTATTGCGAAACCAACCTAGACACTCCCCGTGCTTGTGGTTTCAGTATGTGTCCATCAAGATTGTCGGGTGTCGCCTATCCGCTACTAGTTACACCATCATCTTTTGTTACGTCTGATATTCGAGACTGCGACGAGAATACGCGTAACTGGTATCAGATCTGTAGTTTGTCCCGTTGTATCCCGTAATGAGGCATTATACTCTAGCCCATATCATTGCCAGGCATCAATGTATATTGACAGTCTCATATCCTTTAGTAAAGATCAAGAGTTTCGATCAAGCCTTTACTATAAATATAATTCACATCTACGGATACCCTTTGAAGTATATACTTCGTTATCTCTCCGTGATTACTCGAAGAGTTCTGCATACTCTAAGTTTAATTTCAACAAAGTCTCCCCAGAAGTCTGCTTCAGAAATCAAAGTTCGCAAGCATTTAACTGGCGATAAATGTATTAAAATAAGAGCATCAAGTAGACTTGGCTTGAAATTACAAAATATATCCGACAAGCTTGGCTTCACAAGAAGGCAAGTGCAACTTGCTTGTGCTCGAGAGACTGAGAATCCTAAGCCTCGCAAAAAATGCTCACCTAAATTAAGCGCGGAACAAGTTGATGAGCTTGAGGCTTTCGTCCGGGAATCTCCTGAAAATCGATAGATGTGCTATTTGGAGCTAGCCATGGGGCCCTTCAGCCACTGGGGATGCAGTGAACGTTTAATTTCAAATGTCTTCAATAAAATAGATTACAGCAGATGCATTGCTCGGAAGAAGTCTCTGTTAAGTGAGGTTAACATGGACGAAAGATGTATAGCGGTCATAAAGGAAAATGGAGGGTACACAAAGTATTAGGATAGAGCAGACTAATACAAAACATGTAGTACACTTTCATTTTACTTGTGAGCCATACTGAGGGCTCCGATATATACTTTTGTAACACAGAGCAATTATTTTTGAAATAGATGTGTATTTTTTAGATAATATCAATTAAATTTTTATTTTTTATATTTTTAAAAAATGTTTTGAAGGAAAATTTGCAGCATACTAAGAATGGGCTAAATCCTGGAAAAACCAAAGGCGGCTCAAATTACCTCGACATAAAGCAATCGCCGACCCCGACACCTGGAGAGCAGTCAAGTTCTATCAGAAACGAAAGTCGGATCGATGGAAATAAGTCTCCAGGAATCGCCATTCCTACTCCACCGAAACCTGACAAGGGCCCAAATCAGTCTAGCGATTCAAATTCGAAGTGAGCACATGGGGCTCAACTCGTATTTATCGAGAAGAAAAGTACCCGGAGTCTAGAGTTCAAGCTGTCTATGTGGCTACCAATCGCAGAACCCCAAGTACATGATTATGTCCTGCCCTCGATGGTCAAATCGAAGAGGTGAGATCTGGAGACAAGCGAAAGATCGGTCCTACGAAGCTATGATAAACAATCCTGGAGATATCAAAAGGATAACACATTGGATACTAAATCATGGATGGATAGAGCGATTCCAGATTAAAAAGGCGGTCGAAATGCTGCTGAGGGAAAGGAACAGGTCATGCCTTTCTTGAGGTCGATGAAGCTGATGTTTCTTTTTTGCATCAGATTTTAATTGCGTATGCAGCTATCTAGCTATGACACAATATCAAAGAAAAGTACAGAATAGATGATTCAACGTAAAGGAAGAGCACTCATGCCTCAGATTTCATTTGCAAGTACCACTGCGAAGTTTTGGTGGCTTTTTCTTTACCCCAAGTCAACCCTCATCCGTGAATACCCACCCAGTGGAACGTCTCAAGAACCCTGAGTTATCCAGATATGCCTCCATCATCCATCAACTTTTCTCCGCGCGAAATATGATCTGAGATGTCTCCTTCCGAAGTGGAGTAGGTTCCCAGGCTACTCAGACTGTACCGGAGAACACCACTAGGAGGCAGACCACAACACCTTCCATCGTTGGCTTGTGTTTGTAGTGTCAGCTGCACTCTCGCAAGCGAAGCCTTGGCGCGCACAAAGCTCAATTCGTAAAACCAGCCAAAAATCAGAATTCCGCGCCCGTCGAGTTTACATCCTTCATTTGCATCATCTTTTCAACTTGTCCTGATCCCTCCCACTTCCATCTCAAAGAGCTGTCTCCCAGATTTGTGCGCCACGCTTTGCTTCCTCCATCAGGTATAAATATCGGCGTGGGCGTGTATTTGGTGGCCAGCTGAGGCCAGAGAAGGTCAACGAGAGGTGTGTTCATTGAAACGAGGATGTACTATGTCGTACTTGTAGACTTGATGAGACTTAGGTTGGTGTCTAACTCGTCGGGAGCGAAATAACGACGTGGAGGAGTAATTTGGATTTTTGCCTCGTGGGCCAGCTTCTTTGATATTGCAAAATTTGACTGAACTTGGCTCTGGAGAATGTTTCACTCCCAGGTTGGAAGAGGACACCGCGTACAGTTATTCAGTCTTGCCCTCCGTACCTTGGCTCATCATGGCAAATGAGAGGTGGCGGGTCATCACTATGTTTGACAGGCACGCGAGACTTGCGGGAATTTCTCCCTTAGATGTATATATAAGTTCAATGTTCCCTCAGTTGTAAAGTATCAAGTCTTCTTTACTTCATCATATATATCCATATAATATCGTTCAGAGTATATTTTCCAACAATGGACATATAACATGACTCAGACTTTGAATCTGGTTCATAATCACGTTTCCGATGTAAAAATCTTATCTGTCCGGAGCACGCTATGGTACTTTTTGGTGATTGCAGTATTGCCAGTGAGTTATCTGATAGGGCTTTAAATGAGGCAAAAACTTTGTATTTTAGATGCTTCATAGTCAGAGAAAAGAGAATAGAGAGGCATCCCTATGATTGTTTTCAGAACCCGCCTAATTCCAACCGTGTTCATCACCGCCAGAGTTGTCGTAGATTGAAACAAAAACTGAAATCAAGAAGTGCAAAAACTAGTCCGAAAAACTGGGAATTGTTATTGTTTTGTAAGGTAAAAAGAACGCGACCATCTGAGAAAACTCTCTGCGGCTTCTGTGGATCGAACACAGTGCCTCCAGATATCATGACATGAACTCGCTTCAGTCTGGCGCTCTCCCAAGTGAGCTAAAGCCGCATTTGAAACTATAGCGTCTATATTAATTACAATACCTATCTTTTCTTAACTCTACGACATTTTGTGGCTTCAAGTCCCGCACCTAATACATTTTTAATTTAATTCATTCAAATCCTTCTTGAGTGGAATACTATTTAGGATAAATAATTCAGATTCATCATATCTTTTAAATCCTAGTTTTGGTATCTTTACATGATTCATGAGTTCTCCAATTTTGGTTCACCAGGGGCTACTTTTTTTTTATTTTTTATTTTGTTTTTACTTTTGGTCCTAAGCTTGAGGTTCCTGATGGATTAGTATGTGTGAAAAGTGAGATAAGCTTAGCTTTAAGATGGCGTAGGTTACGGGTGTCTCGTGGCTCCAATCTACCAATATGTATAGTAGAGCTTAAGACTAGATGTAACTTGGTTTTCTATTAATACAGGGTATCATCTATATAAGTACAGTATTCCTAATCTTGCGCCCGGACTCCAACATGAACAACATTACATAAGCATTACAATTTATTAGAGCTTCGTACTAATCTAGAGGTCTGTCAATCTTGGATCCTCAAGCTAACGCTATCTTTTCCACATTGGGTCAAGGACCGGTGGAGCCGGCAAGGATCACTGCGTACAGGCCCAACTCATTCCAACCGCATGAACTTCTACTGAAATTGTAGAGGTTAACAGCAAAACTAAAATCAAAAACATAAATCAAGAACTAAAATCAAATTTGGAAGAAATACTGTTTGGTCCGGATCCCGCGCTTCTCGCCCGTTCCCTTTCCTGCCACATCTTCCACGTGACTTTTTCTTATCTCCGCTGAGAGCGAAAGATTAGTTCGCAGATACCCTGAATTCAGCTGGTATCCTGCCATATATTTTAAAGCTATCTGTAGACTTCACCGAGGGTTGCTGTACCCTCACAGGGGCTACTTTGTACGTTACAAAATAAATTTAAAAAAACAAAGATAAGCAATCCACATCTTTATCTATTTCTGTTATGTCTATTCCTACAACCTTTTGACTCCACTATTCGAGCCATTCTCCTTCACGGAACCATTTCAAGGTTTCAATGTGGGTAGTCCTCGGGTATTCAATTGTTAGATTTATTCCCTTGGTTATGTTAAAAAGTAAATACATAGTTGATCCTTCTACTTCCAGGTCCTCAAATGATTTATTTCTTTCGTTTTTGTACCTGGCAAGTTTGTAACAGCTGTTAAGCCCAAGGACTCCTGTAGCCTGTTGGAAATTGAGACACAGAGTATTGTGGACGAACAGGCCCTCCATTTCGTCTAAGTGTTAAGGTTATGAGTCATGTGGGAACATAGTTACTTGTCACTTGATATATCTGATTGGAGTATGTAGAGGATGTGTTCGACAGATTTCGATACTGTCAGAAGTATGACCATATGCTATCTTATATACATCTATATGACTTATGTCATAGTCTTAGTTCCATCTCGTGATTGACTATCCATAGTAATCACACTACCAATCCAACACTACTCCTGCGGCTCACGTATATCCTCTGCTTGCCAGTCGCATCACTGCCCATATAATCGCAGCTCAGTACCCTAGTTGAGCGCCCCTGAATAGCTGATCCAGGGGCGATCGTACTGGTTTCCTTTAGGGACACTCGAGATAAACCTTCACACTCGATGCTGTTGCATATACGCTAAGTGGTACCCGAACCCTTGCGGCTAGCACTTATATTCCAGGAGCTTATTAGGGCAAGACCCTCAGTATCTATTGGTACATATTAAGTAAATCAATTGTCAAAAAGACTATTAAATTTTAAAGTTATTTTGTTTTCTTTAGCAGTCCTTCATAGTCATAGACTCAGTAGGGACTTAAATTCTATTCTATTCTATTCTATTCCAGGAGCTTATGGTGTCGCCACCCCGATCGCTTCCATGTATAGTTTTTACCTGGGCGCTCCCGCACCCGAAGCTTGGTGGCGAGCAGTAGATGTGCATATTGCAGCGCTAGGCGTAGTTTTGCACCTTCAGTACCGGGACCGTTATTTGCCGGTTCTATCTCAACACTAAGTTCCGTACATAATTTTGTGGGTAGTTACGGTAGTTGGAATGTGTGATATGGGAGTACCTCAGGCTATCTACTTGTTGGACTATTTTGGAAATGGGAGTAGAAGATAACAAATCATCGAAGAGTTTCTTCTCTATTCTCTGGCTATCGAGTATCTAAAATACATAGTTTTCCTCATTTGAAACCCTACTAGATAACTCGCTGGAAATAATGCTACCACCGAAACATACCAAACCGTGCTCAGGATAGATAACATGAGAATATCATCGGAAACACAAATATAAACCCAATGCAAAGTCTGAGTTATGTGAAATCCGAACAATAAGATATTTTCCTTGATACACATCATGTATCAGCATTAACTTTTCCGACCCGAGTCATGTTATGAGTAAATTCGGGTAAACCTAAAATAACCGTAGCTCAACACTACTAGATACATGAGCGGCTGTATGGTGAGGGTACAAGGAGGTTACTGGGGGTTTCCTCCGCCTAGATGGCGCCAGAATAGTTTCTGCCGTGGCTTAGGCTCTGTGTTTTTGAAGTTGGCTCTACTTGACAATGAAAAGTCGCATTGACATTGAACGTAACAAGCTTCAAGTGTTACTAGCCGCCAGCAAAGACGAATTCTTCACCTTCCAGTGCTGCCGGTTTAATCGCTCAGTATGCTCTGCAGATCTGGGATATCCAAGAAGAATAGCATCCGAATCGAAGTCGAAATCAAACACATAAATATCTCTATTTGAAGACTTCGCAATCATGCAGCACTTATCACTATTTTCTAAGTCCTCAATTTCTGTCTAACCACGCATCACCTCATCTCAACAACTGATAAAGGCGTTACCCCAATTGTAAACAGGAGCTTGCCTCAATTATTACCGGCCATCACTTACTACAAATATACGACGCTAAGTATAGCCGCAAGGAGAAATTAAGTCATAATATACAAAGCCTGGGCTCTGGCTTATGGAGGACTGTTTCTCTTATGGGACAAAAAACTTGAGGGAGAATAGGCGACTGAGATGCGGAGCGCGAGTGGTAACAGGTCTCTGAAGACCATACTGGGACCGATATTTTCGAGGGGCTTTCAACTTAGGGACTTTTGCAGGCGCCAAGACCAATATATTGGAAAATCAGCCAGGACTTTTATTGTCGATGAGTCAACAGCACTGCCTAAAGCCCTGGACGGCACAAGAGAAGTTGGGCTAAGCTATCATACAGCAGTTACGCCCTGTCAAGACTTTTCTGAAATTTCAGCACGACCGTCGGGAAGAAGTTGGAAGAAGGCTAGAAAAGCAGAGTGTAAATTTACCGAGGTACACACAAGTCTGCGGCGCCCAGCTAGCCGGCCTCTTCGAGCGCTTCGGAAGGATCACTATGTCTTCGGATCTAGTCATAATGTTGGTATTAGAAGAGCTCCTCATCCAGTGGTGTCAAACAGATTGCCCTAAATATAAATATTGTATCATGATGTTTAAGTTGAGTAGTTCTCGAGGAGTGTGTATGCTATTTGTCCACAGGGTACAAGTGTGAGTTAATTGAGAGTCAAGGTCTTCCACAAGAAGAGATAGAAGGCACGTCGTGATCTGATACGAGTACGGGCTCGAAGTGGTCTTCAAAAGGAATAGATGGAATATCTAGAATGAGAATAATATTGAGAAGACGTTGCGTGAAGAAGGCAACTCGACTGGAGGCTACGCTTTATTATGTACATGCTCGTAGTTCACTGTTACGTTACCTTTCCCTACTCAGGCCTGCTAGATTTGTATGCTGATAGTGAACCAACATTCTAACCCCTGTTATTATTCCGTGAAAGTAGTTTACAAGCAAGTAAACTGGGTTGATGCATCAAAGGCAATAACTTAGTCATTCAAATGTTACAACTAGCGACGAGAAGGATGGCCAATTTCCTACGCACAACTCCCTTGTTGTTTCACTCCTTCCATTGCCCATAATAATGTAACAGCCAATTCTAGAACCATGTATGGAACGGAGATTTGAGTAGTTCGTATTGGCAATCTAATATTCAGTCTATATTTGGAATTAGTAGGGTACTCAAGATGTATATAGTACCTAGATAGATTCCTCGTGGTAGAGGATAATCAATTCAATCAACTCTGAGAGAGATTCATATTAGTATAACTTTGCTTAACACTATCGTAAATCTGTTACCGTACAGCGCCAGGTGAAAGCTCGCGCTACGGGTGCTCCTTTTCTAGGCGAAGGAACAGTCGTTTGTCGACTTTCGCCTTCGGAGCGTCTTTCTTTATTGTCTTGGCCTTAGGTTGCGGCACGGCCTTAACTATATGGACTACTGTTTGTCTCAGTCCATTTTTTGCCACCGTGACCAAGCTGCTTTTTTATGGCTGTACTGGGACGGCAGGAAGTGGTGTGCTCTGGCGTCGGGAGCCCTCTGGAGAGGGTTCGTAGGGCGAGGAGGGAGGAGGGGTGGCGTAGGGGCCGAGCCAGAGGCCATGTATTGCGCTATGGCGGCGCGTACGTAGACTCTCATCGAGTCTACGAATTGTCTATCTGACCCGTTGATCAAAGGGAGGAGGGTGGCTTCGACGCCAGAGATAGCGGCGGACCGAGAGCCAGATTTGCCACTGTTTCGGCGGCGCGTCGTTGCTCGGTCTCGACAATCTGTCGAAATTCGGTAGGACATTCTGCTTTCATGGCAGCTTTTGGCGCTGCTATGGGTACAGCGTTCTCCGACGGTTTTTACGTGGTCGGAGGAGGTTTGGATGATACTACAATCCCGTGAGGGACGGAGGATGGTTGGGTGATTTCCTCAACAATTTCAACTGACCAGATCATGTCAGTATCGGGCTCGTTGACCATGGGAAGTGCTTTTTCCTTCCCTTTAGTTGAGATCTAGCCCATCATCGTGCATTTCGGAGACTGGGCAAGGCCAGGTAATTTTTCGAGAGCCCTCCTGTGGACTCTCGTGTTGTCCAACATGGCCTTTGGATACTTTTTTCGAACTGGAGACATTTTGAAAATGCCTGGGCTCAATTACGATTCAGAGATAGATGCGACGAGATTGAGAAGGGACAAAAAGGGAAAAAGTAAATTTTCGAATTTCACGGATTTAACGGATAAATACTGAGCTGAATGGCTATTCACCACGGGCAATGTATCATTGATCTTTCAAGTAACAAAAGAGAATAGGAACGCTGTACAGGGTGAGGCCTGGGTCAGAGAGTAGCTCGGTATGCTCAATATCCAATGACGCAAGTAGTACAATAAACGTACATCTCTCTCTCTCTCTCTCGCAGAAATAACTTTGTTTTTATCATTTAATGTGTATCCAGCTATTTAGCTATGAAACATGACCAGTGCTATGTATAAAAATTGGATGACTCTGTGACGTTAAAGACCCTGATACTCTGGATTTCATTCGCAAATACCACTATGAGGTTTGTTCGCTTACACAAATAGTTGACATTCCTCCGAAAGTACCCACCAAAGGGAATTTCAAAATCTTTGATTATCCAAGCATGCCTTCGTCATCCATGTACACCAGCAACGCGAGAAATGTAGTTTAGTTTAGCCAGATTTGAACCAGCGATCTACTGTCTCAAGTGGGATATGTGTCCTAGCTATCCGGACTCTACCCGGATGACCAGTCGAGACGATGTACCACCGCACCATCCAACTATGGCGGTGTTTAAAGTGTCGCCTGCACTCTCGCAACCGAAGACTTGGCACACACAAAGCTCAATCTGTAAAATCTCCTTGCCAAATTCAAATTCAACGGGAGTCGAGACTGTATACATCCTGTGCATCATCTTATCAACTTGTACTGGTCCCTCTCACGCCCATCCCAAAGAACTATCTCCCAGATTTGAGGGCCACGCTTTGCTACCTCCATCGGGTGTAAATATCGGCGTGGGCGTGTATTTTGCGACTGGCTGAGGACAGAGAAAATCGACGAGGTGTAGTCATTGAGATAAGGATGAAATAGGTCGTACCTGTAGACTTGATGAGGCCTGGCTAGGACTCGAACTCGCTGGGAATGGAAAATTTAACATGACGGAGTAAATTGAATCATTGCCTCGTGGGCCAACTTGTTTGGTATTGCGAAATTTGACTGAACTTGGCTCTGGAAGAATATTTCAGACCAAGATTCGTAGAGGACACCGCGTACAGGTGTTCAGGCTTGCCCTCCTAAAAAATCAGCTTAGTGATTTGAAAATCTTATCGGTTTGCAATTCTTATATTTAAGGCCCATAGGTCTATCACCAAGTAAGCCGCGTAAAGACATTCGACCAGTTAATGTTTAATTATATTTTACTGAATCAATACCGCAACACTAAGGTAATCATAATCATAAATATAAAACTTAGTTTCAGTTAGTTATCGACTTTAGACTAAGCTGAGAATTTGGGGAAGTAAATTGGTCGCGATAAGCAGAACGAGTGGTTTCTTTCAGGCAACAATTTCAGTCAATCTATTTATAGAGATGAAACCTACAGCTTTTCATCAGAATAGTAGAGAAACAAAAAATCG